ACTTTTTTCTTTAAACAAATTTTTAAAATTAACAATTTATATTTATGCATAACATAAATTTATATTTATACTTGACACAAATTTATTTTTGCGTATATGCATAATTTAATAATTAAATAAATTACACTCTAAGTAAAAACTTTAACATATCGCTTAAATTTCTGTTTCAAAAATCGATTTGTTTAAAAGTTAGCAAATTGTCATCACATGCAGGAATTTTGACTGTAGCGATGTTTTTACAAATGCCATTTGCAGGCCATTGGGCATTGGGCAGCTGTCGCACAGCCTAGTGCCCCGCCCATCCGTCCCACACAGCTCTCCCAGCCCGCCCACCTGGCGGCTGGCGCCTAGTCACGCGCACGTAGCTATACAGGTGCAATCATATGCGTGTCTTGGGCAGCAGCGGCCATTTAACCAAATGTTGCATCAACCTGGTAATTAAAGCCATGCGCGACCGCAAATGTCAGTTAGCTGGCAGCAGCTAACAGCAGTCAGCAGGAGCCAAAGCAGAACAGGACTGGGCACAAGGACGTGCTGTCCCCGCTAACCTGAACCAACTCAACTAAACTCAAAACTCCAGCGATATATATGTATGCATGTGCATGTGTGTGTGTGTGTCAATGTGTGTGTGCTAGTTAACGCTGGTGTTGCCTGCCGTTGGGAGCTGCAGCTGCTGATTGCGCTACGTGGCCATAACCGGACTACGGCACAAGCTGTGCCACGGCCCAACAAAATGGCGACGCTCTCTGCTGCATTTCATTTACTTCAATGGGAACGGCAACAGCATCGGCAGCGGCTACTGCAACTGCAGTAAATGCAACTGCAACTGAAATAGCATTGGCCATGGCCATGGCGATTGCAACTGCATTCCGCATTGTGCATTGTGCATTGTGAATTGTGCACGTCCATTGTGAATTGTGCATTGTGCGTGTGCATTAGCGAAGCACAGGACATTCAAAGAACGTACAACGGCCCCAACGCTCAGCTTGTAGCTGAGCTGCGTGCGCACAGTGGAGCCAAATTTTTACATTACATTGGACAAATTTTTTAGAAATGAAAATCAATGTGAATATTTTATAATTAATTATTTTAAAATGCAAATTTCTTGGAATGCTGTTTTTTTTTTTTTTTTTTTTTTTTTTTTTTTTTAAAAAAAAATTTGACGAAAAAAAAGTAAATTTAATGGCTAGACTTAATAATTACTTTGTTTATGAAATATAATCAACACAATCTAAGCTAATATTAATTCCATTCATTTTTTAGAGCACATTAGGGCAATTTAGAACAAATATATTTTGTTGCATTGAAACTTTTAAATATTCACAATATATAATGATGTTGTAGAAAATGTATCATCGGACATCTAATCAATTTCTTATGATTTTCGTGTATTAATATATATGTCTGTGAGTGTGTGTAATGCTTAATAACTCATGGCATTTTCAGCTGATTAATAATGCTACCGAAAGTTTGCTTGCACATCAATCTCGAACCACTGTGCACTGGACAGCTGCTGTACTTAACTTCCGGTGTGCACGTACATATACACACACTCACGCATATTGATATATATATAATACATATATATGTACATATACTGCAACAACCTGCTCAACATGTTAATGTGCCAGAGCGTCCAGCATGGAATCCCCCACAGCCGCTTGACTTCCATTAGTGGGCTGAGTGGGAGCATTACGAGCGCCGAAGTGGGCAGCTGGGAGGCATGGGATCGCAGTTGAATATGTGAAGCTTTGGGAGTGAGGGAGTAATTCAGCTACGTGCAGCGTCCAAAATTGGTCGAGTCCAGACGAGGCGAGTGGAGTCGCGTCGAGTCCAGTCGAGTTGCATAGAGTCTCGTCTCGTCTCGTCTTGCATCTCGCTYGCACTTTTGTTCCATTGCCACGTCGCCTTTCTCACAAGTTCATTTTGCATTCTTCGCTCTGTCTGCTGCGCTTTGCCTCGCTCTGCTTTTATTTGATTTTATTTTGTTTCATTCATCTTTATTCTCTTTTATTTTTCTTTTTCTCTTCTGCTGCCATTTCTATTTGATTTCATTGCTTTTGCCTTGGCCGTTGTTGCTCTTGTATTTCTATATAACATCTAGTTTTTTTTTCCATCCGACATTTAGGAGTTTTTGTTCGTTTTCATTTTGTATTATTCCCTGTGTGTGGCAGGTTGATACGATTGAGGCGAAAGCATAAAAAATAGATTAAATTCCACGGACTTGTGGGTATTTGAGGCTTATGACTTTTTCTACTCTTGACATTTATTCATAATTTTTTGAATTATTTGCTTTTCAATATATTTCTATCTACATTAATGAAAAAATAGTTTTCAAAATATATATATTGTTCTGTTAAGAACAAGAAATTAAGTTAAGAAACTATTGATATATTTCTTTATCTATGTATATATACAATGATAATAAAAATATATTTAT